GAGAATTTAGTACAATTGGTATAAAAAACTTACTGAGTGAAAGTCTCCAGCTCCATCTTCGAATAGCTGTTGGAACGCAAGTTCATTTCTTTGTGCGTCAGTCAGGAAGGACTCAGTTTCTGTCGCGTCTGATCTCTTATGGTGTAACTTCACACCGCCAGCGTAAATCGGTGTCGATATCTTTGGCGTAAACACATTCTCTTCAGGTCTTTCCAGCAGTGGCTTTGGTACGTCTTCCTCGAGGGATGGATCCCCGTCAGACATTACTTATACGTTTATTTCAATGCTAACAACTCACAGTCATTATACGAAATCGGACTTTTTTCCTTCTGATTCTATTAGTCACCAAACTAAGACTAATGGTTCATTGCACGAACTTTCATCTAACGCGATGATTAGCTAAGGTTATATAGAAGTTAAGTTAATGGTAAGCACGACATTCAACTAATCATTAAAATACTAAACCGGAAGAAACGATAATAAGCTAAAATCAGAGGAATTATTGAACGGCTGAAATGAAAGATGATAATAAAATGACATATGGCAAAGTGACAATCAAATGACACTGACAAAAAAATGAAACAGATTGCAAAAGATTCAATTTTCATGTTTCTGGTTTTTAAACATAGGCTTAAACTTGTACATTCAAAGTTAAATATTGTTTACTATGTTTAATTTAATTACATGCTAATTTAATAATATAAGAAGGCATTTTTAAGAAAAATAATTTACAAACTACAGCAATGGGTGTGTTCACCCCTTTACAATTATGCCACGCCGCTCGCACATTGTCATCGACGTCAATGCGTCAAACAATCTTCTTCCAGCTAGCTTTCAATAAGATAATAGGTTGCCGGCGAAATTATTTTCATTTATTTACAGTGTAAACTGTTTAAAATCAAATTTATGTTATGATTAACCATTGGTGTTAAATAAACTGCATCCAACATGACCGTAGAAACGCAACCTAGGGCAAAACTGCCATACCTCTCCTCCGATAAACAGCTAACGTTTATAAAATTGGCTGTTCTATCAATGGCAGCAATCTTATGTAAGTTATTTAATTGATTATCTTAGCTCTTGACATGCATTTAATAGCGCTTCATACATTAGTACTAAGAACTTGCACTAATATTCATAATACTTTCTGTTTCAAGTTAGTCACGGTACCCCACCATTATTTACATTATCCGTATTACAGTCGTCAAATTCTTTAAATCACATGTACCTTTACATGCCTATTTTACTGGTTTTGTCGTGGCATATTTAAATCCACAATATACTGTTACACTTAGTTAAGTTTAATATTATTATTGTTCTGTATCTTATTTGTAAAAGAATGTAAACAGACTGGAGTTGTTTTGGCTTTTCTGATAAAATATTAAAAATATAAAATAATTAGCAGGCTAGTCCAGTAACAAAGTTAGTTAATCAACCATGTAATATTGAGATAACATTTTTTTCCAGCATTTGCAACTAGATTGTTTTCGGTGCTTCGTTTTGAGAGTGTTATCCACGAGTTTGATCCATATTTCAACTATAGAACTACTCGTTACCTCACAGAGGAGGGTTTCTACAATTTCCACAACTGGTTTGATGATCGAGCATGGTATCCATTGGGCCGTATTATTGGAGGTAAGTTTTTATTAAAAATGCACCTTACACACATAAGCTAATTATGTAATTTTTTATAATCTGTGTAATGGAGTCGCGGAATGACAGCTAGTTTTGTAATAAGTTTAAATTACATTATTGTTTTTCAGGAACAATATACCCCGGTTTGATGGTGACATCGGCCACACTTTATAATATTATGCAGTTTCTAAATATAACAATAGACATAAGAAATGTCTGTGTCTTCCTTGCACCTTTTTTCTCATCTCTAACTACAATTGTCACATATCTGCTAACTAAGGAACTTAAGGTATCTATATTTTGCTTATGTTTTTTTATTGTATGGAAAAACATGTAATAAACATATTGTTGTCTCAGAATGCTATAAAAAGGACAATAAATTACGATGTTCAATGATTTAAAAACATATTGTTCTTTAGGATGAAGGTGCAGGCTTAGTTGCTGCAGCAATGATAGCCATTGTACCAGGCTACATCAGTCGGTCAGTTGCTGGGAGTTACGATAATGAAGGCATTGCTATATTCTGCATGTTGCTCACGTACTACTTTTGGATAAAAGCAGTTAATACAGGAACCATTCTGTGGGCTACGATGACTGCTCTTGCCTATTTCTACATGGTAATGATTTACATTTTTTTTTTCAATTTGATGTGGTATATTTTATTTCGATTACTGTATAAAGTAAATATATGGTAATCATGTACCAATCATAGATCAATAAGGTGAAAGCTTCACACGGTTAAGTATTATTACTTTTCCGTTTTTGCACTTTCACACATTTTACTTAAGATTTAAATACTCATAACGTCATAAAAAACTTTTGAATAATGAAAAATATTTTTTTTTTCATAATTTGATTCATAGCATTTGTCAAAAAAATTTTGGAAGCGTCAACAGCCTAATGGTTAAAGATATGGATTGCCGATCGAGTCCAATCCGATTTACGGTCGAGAATCCGTATCCCCCCATTCGACTATTGTCGTAAACCATATCCTAGCACAAGCCTAGAGCTTAATTGGAATGGTACAAGTAATATTAGTAAATTCACCAAATTTGCTCAGATTATCTACTGTAGTATAAAACAATATTTTCTACTGTAGTTATTAGTACTAACATAAATTATAATTACAGGTGTCCTCTTGGGGTGGTTATGTCTTCCTAATCAACTTGATACCACTTCACGTGCTAGCACTGATGTTGTTGGGTCGTTTCTCTGCCCGTGTGTATGTGGCGTATAGCACGTTATATTGTGTTGGCACAATACTTTCAATGCAGATCTCATTTGTTGGCTTCCAACCTGTACAGAGCTCGGAGCATATGTTGGTGAGTTAAAAACTTGTTTAAAAGAAGGTAAGATAAAAGTTAAAAATGGACAAGAAGTCAATATAAAAAGTAAAAGTAAACTTTTTTAATTTAGGTGTGATTGATTATATAGAAGTGCTTAAATTGTATGTGTCTTCAAAATCATCTATACCGATATTATAAAGATGAAAGATTTGATTGTTTGTTTGTATTGAATAGGCTATATTTATTACTAGTTTTATTTTTATTTCGCACAGACAAAGATACGGGCGCCTGCTAGTTATTAATACAATTTCTTTATATGTATTGTACAGGCTCTGGGTACATTCGGTCTGTGCCAACTTTATGCGTTCGCCCAGTACTTGCGTGCGCGTCTCTCGCCCGCCAACTTCGAGCTGCTGTTCCGGGCGTTGCTTACTACATTGTTGGCAACACTGGGCACCGCTGTGGTCGCTCTTACTGTCACTGGTTGGTACTACTTATTTGGTGTCTTACTACATTTTTTTTATCATTAGTTTTGGTAATACTGGCAAGTATGAAAAAAAACTCATTTTTGAAGTTTACAAAACGATTTTACGAAACAAACAGTTTAAATGCTTTTCATTTTCAGGAAAAATTTCACCATGGACGGGAAGATTCTACTCCCTGCTTGATCCTTCTTATGCTAAGAATCACATTCCTATTATTGGTAAGTATATCTATGAACTTTTTTAATTTACAGAAATCTATTAATATGATGGTGATTAGGCAATCACAAAAGCTTGCAATTTAATAAAAAAAATGAACAAATGCTTTTTAAAATTTAATATAAAATTTTTATTTTTCTCAGCATCTGTGTCTGAGCACCAACCTACATCATGGTCCTCGTTCTACTTCGACCTGCAAGTGTTGGTGTTCCTCTTCCCCGCTGGATTATACTTCTGCTTCAGCAAACTCACAGATGCCAACATATTCATCATACTATACGGAGTGCTCAGTATATACTTTGCGGTAAGTGTCTTATTGTTGGTTTCTGAGACCAAAATCTGCGTATAAAACATATCGTCGTCGTAAACAACCTTGTCATCTTTGACAAAACAAAGATAATCTATTTTAAACGGGCATTTTGGTCTCAGACTCTTAAGATTAGTATTAACCTCATAATTATTTAATTGTTATTAAAATCTTATAAATAAACTATTAGATATGATAATTATGACATATTGACTCATATGATGACTACAAAAAGCTTGATAGCGTAGTAGGCGATGTCGAGAAACTCTCCGTCGCCTCCGCAATGTGATCCATACACTTTGATCGCTGATTACTTCCAACAAATTATAATACATTATTACAAAAACCAGTATAACTAAATCTACACACTGGTGATGTATCCAGGGTGTGATGGTCCGGCTTATGTTGGTGCTGGCTCCGGTCATGTGCATCGTGTCCGGCGTGGCTGCGTCCAGTCTGCTCAGTCTGCACGTCAAGGATATAGAACCCAAAGTAGAGAAACATGAAAAGAAAAAGAAACACGAGAACAATTTTGTATTCCGCTCCGAGGTAAGATTTTAGTTATAAAACTTTACTAAGGTATTGTGTGGATTTTTTAAATATTTACCTAAATTAGGTTTTCAACTGAAATAAAGGATAATCTTATTTTGAATGATATGCAGGTGGGCACATTGTTTGTATGCGTGCTGGGCTGCCTGCTGGTGTCGTACGTGTTCCACTGCACGTGGGTGACGTCAGAGGCGTACTCCTCCCCCTCCATCGTGCTGTCTGCGCGTGCGCACGACGGCGCCAGGATCATATTCGATGACTTCCGTGAGGCGTACACCTGGCTCAAGATGAATACACCTGAGGTATGTTTTAAAATTCGCCTATTTTTTTTCTATTCTTTCTTTACATAATACTGCTCTGGCAATACTTAATAGTACTTTCTTAGTGTGCAACTAACCATTGGTTTCTGAGATCCAAGTCTCTGGATAAAACATATCGTCATTTCTATAATTATCTTTGATAAAATAGAGATTCAAGGTAAGCAACACATCTGCAATTGCGTATGTCTATGGGCGGCGGTCGTTTCGCTAATTTGGCGAATTAGAGTTCAGTCGTTTACCAGGGATTTAATGGGGATTTTGGTCTCAAAAACCTTATTTTAAAACATGTTATCACGATAATAAGAATAGAAAACCATTACTTATAATAAGATTTTTATTTATCTAGATTAATCTTAATGCATTTATCACTTTTTCTACTTTATGGATTTATGGAAAACAATATATTACTTTTATAGTATTCGTTTGTATCCGTGTGCAGGAGTCGAAGGTGATGTCGTGGTGGGACTACGGGTACCAGATAACAGCGATGGCGAACCGCACAGTGATAGTGGACAACAACACGTGGAACAACACACACATCTCACGCGTGGGCCAGGCCATGGCCTCCAGCGAGGAGCGCGCATACGACATCATGAGAGAGCTCGACGTAGACTACGTGCTCGTTATATTCGGTGGACTGGTTGGCTACTCTTCTGATGGTAAGGAAATGTTAAATCTTTTAAAACAACATTTTAATAGTTATAATTTTTTTTTTGTAATAAAATATAATTTTATCAGAAATTAAAAAGTTTTTAGTATTTTTGGGTCAAAACTAAAGAAATTATCTAACAGACTCAACCTTTGTTGACACTGCCCTATTTCTCCCAGTTTCATGTCTTAAACTTTAGAATCTTAATTCTAAAAAATATATAAAAATAAACTTAAACATAGAAAATGGCATAAAAGAAAATACAGCTACAGTACAAAGAGGGTCTTAGGACATTTTTGCAGTCGCTAGTGAACCGTCATTATTTAGTTTGACTTGTACCCACCAGTTAAGGTAGCCTTGTCTTTATGCAATTTTGGCATTAATATTAAGCCTGAGCAGTTGAAGTGATATTTAATTGTTATGTTTTTCATAGATATAAACAAGTTCCTGTGGATGGTGCGCATCGGCGGCAGTACGGAGCGCGGCGCGCACATCCGCGAGGCTGACTACTACACGCCGGCGGGAGAGTTCCGCGTCGATGCTGACGGTGCGCCCACGTTGCTCAACTGCCTCATGTACAAGATGAGCTACTACAAGTTCGGTCTCGTCTACACAGAGGGCGGTCAGTATACCAATATTGGTTGAATACGAATAAATCCAAAATGGCGGATAACATATTTGTACCTACCCACCAATATGGGTGGTAAATGATAGTATTGGACTTACAGAATATCGTGATCAAATCCAAATAAGGATTTAACTTAAATAAATCTTATTTAATTGTTACTCATCTTTAACTTATGTATTAAATGATATAAATTAGTGTGGGTAGTTTACGTTGTTATATTGAGTAAGTGTTGGTATGTCGCAGGTCGTCCCCCGGGCTTCGACCGCGTGCGCGGCGCGGAGATCGGCAACAAGGATTTCAACCTGGATGTGCTGGAGGAGGCCTACACTACGGAGCACTGGCTCGTGCGCATCTACAAGGTGAAGCCGCTGCCCAACCGCGGCCTCTGATCATCACCACACACCAGTAATCACCATCACTGACCAACACCAGTGATCATCACTCTTAAGTAATCGTTGAGATTAATGTATGTCTGTTCTATGTGCTCGAATTTCATTCATTTGTATTTGTTGAAGTCTCGCAACCTTTATTATCTTGCACTAATTACAAATCATGTATTGGTCAAGCTCTCTATTGATTAAATTTTTAAAATCAGTTTAATAGTTTTATAGTTAAATCTCAGTCAAACCTATTCACTTTAAAATAATATTGCATATGTTACAAAGGTTAAAGTTGACTAAGATTGCGAGATTTATACATTTATGACGCAATTTCTATCAAAGGTGTAACTCAACGTGAATCTTGTAAATGTACAATAATGCTATCTCCGTTTTCCCTGAGAGAATGAGAGGGATGGTCATATTGATATAGGATATTGAGGAAATTCACCGTATGAAAATCTAATACATTTCATATTCATATTAATTTACAACAATACTGTAAGTGTAATTATAAAAAAAACATTGAAACTGCACACTAATGTGTTCATATAAATCAAATTAATATATGTTTTTAATGGAAACTGTTTATTTTTTTTTAACTGGTTACGTTATAACTAAAATCAATGATTTGATTACTAAAAATATGTCCTTAAAATTATTGATGTACAAATCCTTACTATCACTTGTCAAAATCATGGCCATTTATGTCATTAAATTGTCCAAAAAAAAACAATAATTTAACTGTTTGAGTGAAGTTGTATACATTTGATACATAACCTCAAAACAGTCATTAAACAGAGAACTATGCACTTGCCATTTCTATTGGTCCACATTTAATGGGGTATTACTGGTTGCACGCAACTTCAAATAAAAAAAACTAGTAATATAGTGTACGTCACCTGGGGATAGTGTAGTTTGAACAGTGCAAGAATTTTTCAAATTTGTTCAATAGTTTCAAGAAGCAATCAAATCTTCACTCTTTATATTAGTACAGGTGACAGTTGTTGGTGATTGGTCAGTGTTGTAGACATAATCCTATTGAGGTGAGTAACCAGGATACTAGAAATCTGGCTCAAAGTAGAACATACCTTTAAATGTCATTTTAAAGGTGACAAGTTCCCTGCTGTGCAAAAGCACTTTATCTTAGGTAGTTAGATAGAATATTGTAATTGTTAATATAATGAATTTCTCTGTTATAATTAAAATTTAAGATAATTAACAATTTACTTTTGGGATAACAATATTTTATTTTTTATATTGAAATATTGGATCAGTTATAAACAGTTAAATATCATATAATTTAGCATTCGGTAGTGCGAGTTCTAATACAAATGTAAAAACTGAAAATTTTGATAATATATGTATTTTACATGCACATTATTTCATATGGCAAGTTTATAATCTGAAGTTAGACATGCGAAAGGATACTCATTGTTTGTTAAAAAAATTATTCTTTTCAAAATTACTTTCCAAAAACTTTGGGTAGATATTAAAAATTATAAAATTTTATATAAAATCTGCTAACACGCATATATTTCGATAACGAATAAATCCGTGATTGTTAGCCAATTATATATAGTTCCTTTAATTACTTACTCTCTTATAAGAAAAAAAGTTTTCTAAAAATTATACTTTTAAATAATATATCTGTCGCGACGCTAACTTCAGATATAGACTTATTAGTCACAAGTTAGTTTAACTTATATAGTGCATTTAAATATCTAGAATATTTATGTATTAGCAGCACAAATATTGGTATAATTAAAAGCAGTTTTGGTAGCCATAGACCCAATCTTATGTGTATGAAGAACTGTTTTAATTCCTTTTTATATTTTTATTTGTAATAAATTTTTATTGATAAACAAATGTTTTATTTTTAATTTGTTATTTTCAATATGATTAATTCGTGTGTTTCATAGAAGAAAATTGTTTAATTCACATTTCTAAAACAAGATATAATAAAAATCAGTTTATCTATTAAATTATATTTACATGTTTATAAACGTGAACATTTCAAATTTTATATTACTTAACAAAATTAATATCAAGGCAAAGTCTCAGTATAAATTAAATGTCATCATCATTGTCACCCTGGTCTGAACATTCCTCGGGTAGAAAAGTGTCATCATTGTGGGGGTTGTGTTTGTTGGGTCGGAAGCGCTTGCGTCTTTGTTGCTGATAATTCGGTTCATCTACTGTTAGCTGAAAACAAAACATTACAGTTGTTCAATTAAATACCACACTTCACTGATATATTTAAAAACGGCTGAACACTCACATATATTCGTCCGGTGGCGGCACCGACTAGTTTCGAGCCCATCGGGGGTTCATCAGGATGAGTGGTACTGGTATTGGCTCACTGGAGTGACCGATGGGCCGCGTCCGCGAAAGACGAATATTCGTGAGTGTTTAGCCGTTTTTATATCAGTTTAGTATAATATCTCACGAAAGTTTGAATAATTTAACCACACTTCACTATAAAAAAAAACTGTTAAATTTGAATTTACAATTACAGCAAGACAAAGACACTATTAAACAAAAAATAAATGCTGGACAACACAGACTTATAAATACATAGAAAAACTCATGAAGTAACATAAAATAACAAAGGTAGACTCGATTTGTTACATCTTACTAATATTGTAAGGTTTGATTGGATGTTTGTTACAAGGTATATCTGGGTGGAGCGGCCCAATGGATCTTGAAATTTGGCATAAGTAGCGTAAGACATAGAACTCATAAGTTCTTTCTTAACTCGGCCAGAGTCACGGGCGACTACTAGTTTATTCATAAATATATCACTGAGCCAATTGAAAGGATTTAATTTTTTTAGCATATTATTGTGTATATCAATACCTGTTTCAACAGCTTGTAGGGTCCAATACCATCCATGAATGCATCACGGAATGCTTTATGAAGCTCTTTCTTTCTGAATACAGTACATTGTGTGTGAAGAACACTCGATATATCCTCCGACAAATCTGTTGAAATAAAGTCAAATTTGATGAACATTGAATCAAATGGGCACAAAATATCATGGGTTATAGCCTGTCTATGTATAGATACAATGGAATATTTACCTGAATCATTGAATCTGTAAGTTTTAGGCCTTATATCATTGATGTCATAGTCGAGGATGAGGACTATAGGTATCATAACACATTCATTGTCCACATTTGCTTCAGCGAAAAATGATATCTCTATATATGATGAATCTAATTTTTTAAATAACTTTGCTTCAATATTTAATAATTTCTGCAAATCACAAAATTAGTTTTATTTCATAATAATAATAATAATTCAATAAAATTAATTTTGGATCTCACCTTTAAAGCATCAAATTGTGTGAGTCTATCATAATATGCAACAAGAGCTTTTCTTATAGAGCCAAGACATGCTGGTTTCATCACATTGTCAAACTCATCAATAATGGCTTTGAAATTAAAGCCAAGTGGGAATGAACTTCTTTTAATCTCATTTTTACCTAGTATATTTACAGTAAGAAATTTGTAATTAATAAAGTAAATTAAATTCATAACAAAAAGTAAATTCAATATACTAATAAAAGACTTAAGATAACACCACATATGCCACTGTATGTTTTTCATATTAAAGTGAACTCACCAGACAAATCAATAGCACTGAATGTGAGAACATGATGTTATGTAGAAATAGAAGGCTTACCAGAGGTCATATCAATTTCCAAACAGTGTTTAATTTGGTGTTGAGAATCATGCTGCAAGTGATAGACAATGCAGCAGAGCTCCCCAGACACATAAGACTGCACCTCCATGCCTGACACCATCGATGTTAGCTCCAGGTTTTTCTTCATTGTATCAATTGAATTTTGTAGCATAATAATCTATTTGAAACAGACTTATTAATAATATTTAACTATCTTATTAGTCTTATTAAAAATTGCGGATATACTCGATGTTAACATCCGAGTGGTAAACAAATACATTTAAATACCTGCGGTCTAACAAAAACTTCGGGTTTTTTAGGTAAGGTATTGACTTTGGCAGATTTACTTCTATACTTATTGCGCTGTATCTGAAATAACTCATAATGTTTTTGCCCCAGCTGTTTTTCTAACTCCTGTATTTCTTCCTGCAACTCTTGACAGTCATCGGATGCTTTGGTAGCTAAAAACGATGAACAATACAAACTTTATACTTTACACATTTCTTTCACTTTAATAACTGGATAATTTAAATGGAAATACATACCACCTTTTCGGAATAACTTTGTTATTTTGATTTGTTTGGTATTCGTCATTTTCTAGTAGTTATTATTATATAAATAACCACATGAACGAAACTAGGAAATTACAACGGCTTTATATTTTAAAATTGGTTTATAACCGTATTGTTGTTGACGTTGTCCACAAATTTCCATGGACAACGGACATCGGACAGTGACACTTGGTGACACTTTTACCTTTGCGTGCTCTTTGGATACTGTTCTCAAAGAGCATGGAACCAAGGGAAACCATACAGATAAAGCCCATTTTACGGATTGATCCATAAAATTCATTTTGAATTATGTTTGCCAGACACTAAACGAGAGAAATATCTTTATTGTATATAATTTAAATTTTTAATGTACCACAGAAAATCCAAAACATTCATATTTTTGTCTGTGGTCAGGAGTTTCCAAAAAAGTATTCGTCAAGGAAATCTATGGTCAAATAACGAGTTTGCGCTTTATGACTCTTGTCTTACGTCTTATCTTACTACATATTTAATTTTTCCTTAAGTTTGGGTTTTCACATTAATCGTTTATAGACTATCCTACGCAGTTCTTTTATCCAACATATGTTACTGTGTAGTTTCTCAATAAAATTGAAAGAAAAGTAAAGTTTTGGTCAAGTTGGTTTAACTACATTGCTGTTCTGTTGAATAATCATCTTACGTGAAGGTAAGTTTAAAATTGTTTATTATTTGCTCCAAAGATATAAGTTGTAGGAATTGTATTAAACAATGTTTAAAAATTATGTGGAAACAAGATGGTTGTAATAAGATGTATTTATGCACTAAATAGACTTGCATTGTTTGATATTAATATAAAATGTGATGTTGAAACTTGCATCAGCATAAATATATCCCTTCAAAATACAAGTAGAAATTTACAAGCATATAGGTGTAGCAGCGATATCGCTGCTGCTGTAAGTATATATTTACAATAATAAATAATGTATAACCTAATTATTTACTTAAATACTATCTTAACTCTTCCTTTATATATGTAGTAAAGTTTGTGATTCTTGTAGTTTTACAGTTTTGTATATTTTTTTTAAATACTCTAAATTTAAGGTTTTGAGCTTAGATTTTCAAGAATTTTTAGTTCTGGCCATCTCTTTTTTCTAAAATGATTCCAAACAGCAATCCAAATTGTATTATTAATGTATAATGTATACTTATTTTGCAAGTTATTTGTCTAATATGTAAATATTTTTTTTTACAGGCAAGATGTTTAGTATGCCATCAGCTCACCAACAGTACTTAAGGGATAGAGGTTTGATAAGTGAAATTTATGCAGCAATGGACAATGATGACTATGCTGATGTGGTTATGGCAGCATTTCATGCACTTGAAAAGAGTGATGGGTTCCCACGAGTACCTCATGTATATAAATGTGAAGAAAAATCTAATGAGTACCGTAATTTGGGCAACATTGCATTTAAAACGGGAAGTCATAAAGAAGCACTACAATGCTATAATGCAGCGCTTATGCATGCACCACACAACTCCAGGGCAATGAAGCTTGCATACAGCAATAGATCTGCTGTTTTTCAAAACAATAATCAATATAATGCCTGTAAAGTTGATATAGAACATTGCTTTCAACTCGGTTGTCCACCAGATATTGTTGAAAAATTAAAGAAAAGAATGGCATCTGTTAAAATGTATAGTAACATTGAAGCAATGGCTATGTCAGAATTAAAAAGTAATTTCGCTGGCGTTTTTAAGTTTGGTGCAGAACGAAATGCCCAAATACCTTGCGTTAGTGCCAATGTTGAAGTTGTTAAAAAGGATTCTTCTGTAAAGATAGTTGCAGCAAAAGACATTAAGGTTGGAACCCTTCTGGCATTGGAACCATCATTTGTAAGTTGCAATAATGAAGAAAATGTTGCATTTTCTTGCCACTACTGTCACAAGATGTCATTGAACCTTATCCCTTGTGATAGATGCTGTTTTGTTATGTTCTGTGATGAGGAATGTAAAAAGCTTTGTTTGAAAGAATTTCATAACATTGAATGTCAAATTATGGAACTAATTGAGGCACATATTTGTAGTCCAATGGCAAAATTGATGGTCAAAGGTGGTATTAAAATGGTACAACTTTGTGAGTCCTGGGAAGAAATAAATAAAATTTCACGTTGTACAGGGTCAAAAAGAATTCCCACAGCTTCAGTGCAGGAAATGTTTGATGTCGGAAATAAGCTTTCTGTTCTTACTTACAATGATGATAAGCTGTTTGTTCATGGTAGCATGTATGTGGCTAGTTTCTTCTGTGCAATAATAATTTATTATTTAGAAAAAGTGCCAACATTTTTCCCACGATTATTAGGAGAAAGGAAAATGGCGAGGGAATCTATGGGACGGCTTCTGATGTATTTTGCATTGCATCCTGAACCCACACAAGTTACTTTAACCGTAAGCAACAGGAATTCATCAATTACGTACTCTCATCCACATATAAATCACGGATGGTATCCATTCGTCGGAAAATTGCGGCATTCTTGCACTCCTAATGTCATTGTTTCAAATTTGAACAAAACTGCTGCGTTGATAGCATTGCAACCTATCGAAAAAGGAACGGAGTTGACCGTTTCTTACATGTGAGTATGTACTTTACTAACGATGGATTCATGTGGGCACTGTGAGTGCACACAAATACTAGCTAATTGTATATAAAAAAAATTGTGTCCAAATTGAAAAAGAAAATGTAAATGTTAAGTGCTCATATCTTTCTATTACTTTTATTGACTTATTCTTGGAAAGTTCTTTAGCTTCTAAGCTTTTTTCTCTTTTCAGGGGTCATTATCAAATACTAGATATTGATGTACATGTGAAAAATTGCATGTCATTTGTAAAAACTGGACGAGTATGCAAATGTGAGATATGTAATGGAGATTGGAAATTCCAAACCTACAAGAGTGTTTTAACAGAAAAGCAACGCAACATGTACATTAATAAATTTCTGCCAATAATGAAGGAAGCGAACTTTGCCAAAATGAACAAATTTCTTTCACAATTGTTTGAAGTTATGACTTGTTTAAATAATGTGCCATTCTCTGAGGAATATAAAAATGTCTTCACTCTGTTTCATAAATGTTTATTAGCATTTGAAGAAAGTAAAAGCAACTTTATTTTAGATTAGATTAAAAAATATTTCTTTTCCCGGGTTTTTTTTTCAAATCTCTCAAATTAAACTCGCCTTTAATGTCTAAATTATTTTTTTTACAATATTTAAAGCTAAACTATTGTGACATAATATGAACAAGAAAGTGTGTACTCGGACAATTAGCTACTGGGCCTACCACCATGAAAGGAAGAAAATGCGCTGGTACCTCACTATTGCATAGTCGCACGTTGCAGATATGCTATCTATATTGTCAACTTTGTCAGTTTCTTTAAAAAAAAGTTGCGAAAATTCAAATTCATGATGAAATATTAAAATAATAAGTCATCTAGGATCCTTTTAACCCAATCATTACTTGTTAGCAGTTAAACGTTTCGGGAATGCTCATCTATTATTAAAAAGGTGTGAGACAGTCTAAAAGTCAAGCCTTTTCACTTGATACCGTTATTAATTGTACAAAATATTTAATCCACCATTTTGTGACGGCGAATATCTTGGGATTATTCATAGTGCTGTAGCACGAATATTTGTGACAATCTCCTTTGAAACGTCATCTTCAATTATGTTAAAAATAATATGAGATTTTCGGCGGATTTAAATCTTAGTCCAATTTTTAATACAATACGAAGGCGGTTGTAACATGTATTTTTACTAGGCCCAAGCTAATGTATAATTCTGATAAACAGGAAATAACGTGATAATCGGTTCATCCGGTCATACGCATATAGTGTGCGGTGAAGTAGTCGGGGAGTGAATAAATCCTATATAAGCTTGTTTTTTCAGCGCGTCGTTACAGTGGTCATAAGCGGCCAACAATTGCCGCTCTCATTGTGAACGGTGGAAGTATATTTTTAATTGTTTCTTTTATTCTACGTTATCTTAATTCCCTATTAGAAATGTCTTTAATATCTAAACATTGTAGAGTGTGCTTAGAAACCGGTATTCATTATAATTCTATTTTCGATAACAACAAGCTGTACGCCAAGATGTTGATGGATTTAACCGATATTAAGGTAATTTAAAATATTTTTAATAAAACTTGCCCGATTAATAAATCTAAATGTATTTAACTGTAAAAATAATAAAAAATAGGAACAAAAGAAAACCGACTTCAAAAGAACAATCTCAATCAAAATGTACTAAAAAATTACAAAATAAAGTCATGAATACTCTCGAAAGCAAAAAGTTATCTTATTTCTTATGTCTATATTGTACAATTATTGTTATTTCGGAGTCGATTATTAAAATCTACCTCGACCTACACCGACCGACTATCATATAGTTTTTGGTACTGAGTCGTGAGTGATTTGGTCCGTTCATCTACAATCATCTACCGCATTAGGTATGTCCTAACGAGAAAAATAGCAAACCTTGTCATGTTACGGCAAACGAGCTTAACAATTTTTTTTAAACTGCCACACCAACTTATTTAAGTAATGACTGACTGTTGCTCGCGATTCCAACGCGCGGTTTAAAAAAACTTAATTAGCCTGTGTCTGGAAGAACAGACTACGTTCTACATCTATTATACAGCCGTTCTGAAGATACCTTCAAACAAACATCTATCCATCAAAACATTCGCATTTATAATATTAGTAAGATAATAAATAAGATTAATTTTTATGCTAAAAATGCTTGTTTAAAATCAGATTTACCCTTATGATGGACTACCATACAAGATCTGCGCAAAGTGCATTCTGCGCCTGGAAAGCGCGTACAACTTTAAACGACAATGCAAAAAAATGAACGGCGTGCTGTGGAAAAATATGGCTGAGAAAATATGGAGTAAAGGCTTTTTAATATAATTTCAAAAAATATTTCTTAATAAACTATTTATAAAACAAATATTGTTTTTCATAGAGATATACAATAGTAAGAGATAAAACATTAAAAAATTTTTAAGTGCAAGGCAATTATTTGACACTAGAGGTTTGTTCAAGACAGTTTTTCGCGGGGACGAAGTCGCAGGCACAGTTATTTATAATAAAGATATTTCTAATTACGATATTTAAAATAAAATTTTGACATTAGTAAGACCAAAGAGAAAGTTATGTTTTTAAGTTGGGGATGTAATGTAATGTTTATTTTAAATAACGCAATTATTTTTATTCATTAATTCATTGTTTACAATTCTACATCAAATTTAATTTACTGTGTCTTACATTTATCAGTTCGTATAATTTAATGAAAAAGCGGTTTTAGCTTCATGTATTAACTAAAGAAATTTCAAACTACGCATATAATACTAACTAATTTTTATTCGACTTTTTCAGATGCAATTCTAAAAAGAGACTTCAACAAAAACGCAACCCCATCTCCACCTACTACAAACCAAATGCCACCCAATACTTCTATAGTTCACGATAACCAAATCAAAACCGAGCAAAATCCAAGTCAATGTAACCATAGTCAAGGAAATGTTAATGAAACAAATAATTTTAAATTTGGAAATTACTCGTCAGTTTCTAAAACTAATAAAAATTCTGTAAACCAATGTCTCAAACTGAATAATCCTATGTTAACAACAATATCTATGATTGCAAAAAAAATGTCACCACATTTGAAACATAATTATATTTGTATTGGTTGTCCAAAGCAATTTAAAAAAATTGGAAATTTAAAAAGACACCTCGTTGTTGCTCATAGTATACAGCCAAATCACATTGAGTTGAAGGATAAGGTTGTGCCGAATTTATAAGGGAAAAGTTCAGATCTCTTCTATGATACGTATTGTAGAAGAGATCTGTACTTATTATCATTATATCTTCTGAACTGAACTTATTACCATTATCAATGTAATCGGAACGAACTAATCAGATACGAGTACCTGGATGACCGGTATTTTTTTTTTATTGTGTTTTTTGTAAATTATATTTAAGTACAAATTAGTAATAAATCGATCTTACCGATACAAAAAGTTAAGTTTATGTTTAAGTTGATTATTGATAAAACACGAATAAAATGAGATTTCCTAAAAATGATTCCTAGCTAGATCGATTTATCTAAATTTTATGAAAATCGTTGGAGCCGATTCCGAGATTGCAATTATATATAATTGCAATTCTTGTGTATATATATATACAAGAATTGCTCATTTAAAGATATAAGATAATATTTATGTTATTTATTAAATTAGTTATATTAATAGTTTTAAGGATTACTATAATACTTGTATAATTAAGAATAAAACACTGAAGTAAATATATTATTTATTAAAAGTTGTGTTTATTGACATTCCTTAATATTTTACAAATTTAAAAACGATATACAACAAATTACATATAACGGAACGGTGACGGGAACCTAACGACATATGGTTACGTCACGTCAACGTCACATCGTCGGCGCTGGGCTTAGCACGTGTGTAGTAAACAACTACGAAACTCAACCAGAACCAAAGTAAAAACATCAAAACATAGAGAAAATGTTAACATTTAATCCACGTTATGCATCCGCTTGAAGTCTAGCTAATTACAACAGCGCAGGTGTTCTCTCTCCTCATATATGACCACGTGCCGTTCACAATATTCAAAGTCCCAAAAGTTTTGCATCTTCCTCAGAAAGGCGACCTTCTTCTAATCGTATTTTTAACCTGAAATAAAAGTAATTAATATATATTACTATATAGGAAAATAACTTTCACATGTGACTCCATCCACTCAGAATTTAAAAAAAACCTTGTACTCTATGTGATTTTCCAGACTATGTATGCCATATTCATCGAGACCCGTTCAGACATTCTGGAGATATCTTCAAAAAAAACATCCATCCATCAAAACATTCGCATTTATAATATTAGTATGTAGTAGTAATTGGAATGTAAAGTTTATAACGCCGTAATACTGAAGTTTAGTTGACGGATTTAGATCTAAAAAGCTCTAAAAAAGATGCGAAAAATGACAATGACCTCTGCTCGTTGTGATCGATCGACCAGAGCTGCGGCATATGTTGCGGACGCATGGAGGCCAGGAAGTGCTGCCGCCAGACCCGCTCCAGCCGCAGCAGACCCTCGTGCTGCAGGAAGTACTCCACCACTTTATGTCCGTGCGACTCGTAGTCTATATTCTCAAACCTGTCACACACAATTACAATACAATGGTTTACATTGGTAGAGCCTGCTTTAACATCTTCGTACGAATTGTCCCGGCTCGCCCGGTGAAATACCACGACCACACAGAAGATACGCGTCATGTGGAAGCAATTCCGCTCGTAGTCTGATGAGTGTGCGTCCCGGAGCCCTAATTTAGTCCTCTTATAAGGTTTCTTATAAGGTAAGGATGGGAAGTGGAAGTGGACTTTCCGGATGAGAGGATGCATGGGAAGGGAATAATATTTTCTTTCTGTGCATCCTCTCCTCCGTCGATTAAAGGTAGGCAACGCATGCAATTGCGTATGTCTATGGGCAACGGTTACTTAGCTATTACAGCGATTTCAAGTGGCCGCACGTTCGTTTGCCATCTTATGATTAAAAAAAAACAAAACTTCATATAATACATTATTTTCTTCATACAAACATAATCGCTCGAGTAAATACTTATCTGCGATAATTGTACGCATCATAATTTCTAGTAAAAAAAATTGTCTGAATAAGACGTCATATATTAAACCATGTCAATGATAAATCTAACGGTCAATCGCCGAATATCCGGTCTTAGATCAAAGGGTACAAGTTATCATTTCTATAAACATTTAAACGCGAGTTACACTTACACGCGTTTAAAAAAAAACACGTGTAAGTGTAAAGGTTGTAAAGAAAACTTACACGACTTGCATATCCGCCGCGTCTTGCAGAAGTTCCTGTGTGATGTGTCCATGTTGCGGGAAATGACGTAATATTATTTGTTCCAGTTCCTTCCTCCTCTCGTCTGGTAGAACGTGTTTCCGCGATTGATAAAGCAGAGCGCGAGCGGCGGAACGAACTTTTCTGTTTAACATATATTTATCATATACCAAATAGCGTCAATGGCTCAGTGGTTAAGCACTTGACTTGTAATCTGCAAATCCCGGGTTCAAATCCCGCCATATACTCATGTGTTTTTCCGTAAGAATACGTAAAACATTTTTTTTTTGTGAAGTAGTCGACCGTGAGTCTTCCAAACTACGTCTTAAATCTATCACCGAGATCCGTTGAGCCCTTCTGGAAATACCTTTTAACAAACATCTATCCATCTAAACATTCGCATTTATAATATTAGTAAGATTTTTTTGGAGGAACAAAAATTATTTATGACGTAGAGTGGAGAAAGAACAAGGAGACGGTGATTCAGAATGAAAGGCACTAACTTGCAGTCGGCGTCCTCTTTGAATTTGTTATCGGTGTGCGAGGCGAGCGGCGCGTCGCACTGCTCGGCGAGCCGCTCGCGCACCGCCTGGTCGCGCATGTTGCTGCGCTGATGGCAGCCCGTGCATAGAAGCACCACGTCGTGTGACGAGTGGTCCTTCATTATTTCTATTCAACACAAAAAAAAACATAACAGTGTCAATTTAAAAAACTTAAAAATCCCGATCCATTTTATAACCCTAAGGGAAAATACGATTAGAATGATAAGACAAACTGGGCGTAAAATATCTCGCTTTATAAGTTAATAATAAGGCATAATACATAGAAAGACCCCTCCAGCCGATTGACGCCACGTATCCAAGACGCTGAATTATTATTATTCTAGCGATCGAATTAAATTTATGCTAAATTGTTTAAATAATTGCTAATAAAATATTTTATAAGCAGATATAGATTTCTCACTATTGTTAGCGTTTCCCGCAAATTAAAGCTGTAAAATGATAATTATAAAACCGCATGACGCATGGATATTACCCAGCTCTTTATACCTACAAAAATATTAGATGACACAAACTTAGCTTTATGTTACTGGCTATTTCTAACGCTTTATCAAAAAGGTTAGGTAGGTTATCGATTAAAAAAATACGTCATGAGTTTTTTGTAGTGTAATTAATTTTGTTTTTATTTCTAAATATTCGCGTGTTCGCACTTAGTTACCACACGGATAAGCAAACGAAAAGGTTGGAATAGTAGACTACAAATATATCCAAGATGGCCGCCATTTCAAAAAATAGATTCTGACATATAATTTTTAACATTGGAAGAAGCTAGCAACAATAACGTCTGTCGAACAAATTCCTCCGTATGCAATTGCGAATGCGGATATCTATGGGTAAAGTTCAGGTGGTCGCTTCCTCGGTTTTCACCTAACGATATACACATTATTTTTATCCCCTTTTTTTTTTTTTCTGTGGGGAATGCTTTATGCATACTCCGCGCCCCGGGGGGGACGCAGTAGTCATGTGGGATTCTCCTCCATAGCGGAGGCATACCCACTAAACCCCTCTGTTCCTCCAACGCATCGGGACGGGACCACGGGCACGCTTTCGCTCTCGTCCGCGGCCATTATTGTTATCCCCTTAATATGGGTATCAAATCAAAAGGATTTGACTAATAGAAGTCATTTTAAAATGACCCAAGGATTAAGAAGATATTAAAAAAAAACTTTTTTTATTAATATTTCCTTAACTGTCACAAACCAAGCGACTTACCTGGAAAATATTTCCTGTATTCTCTGGGCACGACATTTTTTCGTATATAAGAGTTATCGCCGCCGCAAACAACGCATTTGTTTTCCTTAGTAAGTTGGTAATATCTGCCCACCTCTCCCACGGAGCGGCCAGAAGGCTCAAAACGCAGACGTACTGTGAGTGGATCCTCCTTCACCACATCTGCTAATTCTTTATCTACGTACCTTTAAACATGACACTAATTAAATTGCTAGCAAAGTTTAAATATTAAATCGTACCGTATTTTAGGTAACTTTCTAACAATTTTATACGATATTTGCAATTTATTATAGAACATGATGACTAATTTTCACTTATTTGTTGATCTAAATTTACTTTACAATTTATAATTTTGTTGTGTATAAAACCGCAAAACACAATATACATAGCTTATTCCTTAGGACGCCATCTTTTGGTCCATTTTAGTAACATGACATAAAACAAATAATTTTTTTTTTAATTTTAATAAATTATTTCAAATTATAGCCAAAGATCAATTTAATGTCTTACCATTCAGCCTTTTTGGTGTCACAAGTGCATAACAACTCTCCATCCGGCGCCACCAAGAAACAATTGTGGTATAGCGGCTTGGACCGCGTCGCGTGCGGGTAACGTTTGCTTACTACAGCCTCCTTGGTTAATTTACCTTCTTTTTCTTTTTTCCTGCAAAAAATATAACTACAACTTCAAAATATAATTTCATAGTGCAATAGCCTATTAATTAAATTGTTTAAACTTTCATGAGACATTACAAGAATTTCATTAGGAAAGGCTTATCTCACGTATGGTCTTTGAGCGAGACGCAACGCGATCGCGATTGACCCAAAATAAACACTAGAAGATGGACCCCTGACAGGTCGAAACTAGTTGGTGACGTCACCGGACCATTATACGTAAATTAAGCTGTTCCTAATTAATTAATTAATAAGAGAAAGAAGATTTTTTTTATTATTTGATTTAACATATTTTCCGTTATATAGTAAAAATGCTACAGTACATTTTTTTGCTTTAGCTGTGTCTACTTGTACTCTGAATTAAAGCCAAAAGCAAGATATATATTTTTTTAACGCAACAACAACAGCACTCACATATTTTATCCCTGTTTTTTTCATAAATCTTATTTAATAATTGGGCGGCTGATTTCTGTGACCTTTGTTTGTAATATCTATTAAATATTTGATTTCATTTAAAAATTTCTTTATTGTAAGTGTACATTATCGTATTGATATAATATAATAAATACGAAATTTTGGATGGATGTTTGTTACAATGTATCTTTGGAACCGCTCAACTGGTCTTGATGAAATTTGACACAGATGTAGAACATAGCCTGGAAGAAAACATAGCTTATATATTAGTTTTTTTTAATTCCACATTGATGGTGTTGCCAGTGCCAAATAGTCATTGTTAATTGTTATTCAAAGTAAGATATAATTTTTTATTAAATACATACATTTCAGTGCCCAATTTAGATGTTTGTTTATTTTTAAAGCCAATATCAGAATACTTCCAGCAGATATTATTTATACTATGCCAAACTTCATTATTACTTGAGTTATCCAACCAACTCCATACTGAGCCATACTTCTTGTTTATAAGGTAAACAAATATCTTAATAGCTACATGAGCATCAGCTGCTGCATAATTAATTTGTGTTTGCGTTAACTCATCAACTTCCCAGTTGCTGCAGCGCACCTGAAAACAAAAGACTGTTACAAAATTTTTTACTACCTTTGAAAATGTTTTAAACATAATAGTGGGTGCCTGTGACTCCATCCGCGCGGAATAAAAAAGAAATAATAAGAAGCCTATGTGTTCTTCCAGACTATGTTATGCCAAAGATCTGTTTAGCAGTTCTGGTGATACTTTCAAAGAAACATCCATCCATCCATCAATCTAAACTTTTGCATTAATAATATTAGTAAGAAGTATAATTATAAATATTTTCTGTAATAAAATAGCTTATTTACTATCTTGACCAAAACTATGTAAATGCTACTGTTAGGGATGTCATGTCTGAGAAAAAGTTTTTATTTACAATGATATGGATGGCATTATTATAAGTTTATGACATACAGCTTAGAATTTATATATCGTTTTTCTTATTTGTTTTACTTACCCTCCAACTCTTGTCTAAAATAACATTGAGTTGTGATAAAGCCAAGAAAGCTAAACCACCTGGAGTATGACCAGTGAGTTCCACAATGTGTCGTATATCCAAAGTAGACTTCAGTGATACTGAATAATCATTTAATAAATATTTTGCATCATCAAATGGTGCTACACCTACTTTGAATATATTCTCATCTTCTAAAAGCTCCTGGAAGACATTATTTAAAAAATATTATAATTTTTTACTCCATAAAGTTTTTTGCATCATTTGGTAACAGAGATGATTTTACTCCTTGCTCATTATTAGATCTTCAAATTAAATATCAGATATTGAAATTGAATAATAAACCATATTTTTGAGTAATAAATATTGTTTAATGGCATTTATACTTTTCATGTTATTTTTTTTTCTTGTTGAAAGTTTTAAACATACTTTATAAAACAACAATTTAATAGAAATGTCCTTACTTTTAAAGAGTTGGGTATAGTCTTTAAATGGCTAAGTCTGAACAAACCACAATAACCATCAAAAGAAGAGAGCTGAACCAAAGCAACAGGTTGCCTTCTACCCAGGTTTGTAACCCATTCACAATCAAAGCCAACGGCTTTATGGAGTCCTATTCTCCTAAAACAAATTTTAAAATTTTCATTATACACATTATTTTTTTAACTTAAAATAAAGAAAAACCAAACTGACTTAGATTATTTTACCTGCGTAATTCATTTATCACTTCATTGCAGGACTCTTCTGTGATTACAGTTCTGATTGTTAAGTAGTTAAGAGCATCGACTGCATTTCTTTTTCTTAGTTTATATTTAAATAAAAGCAAAGTTGCACCGGCGAAACCAACAGCTAGAGCCGTAGAGGTTACGAATGTTTTAAATTTTAAATATGTATCCATAACAGTAATAATCATTAGTTAACTGTCAATCTTACAATTATAATAAAACTTATCACTTAGAAGTTATGCATTTCATAATATAAAGACATCATAACATGCAATCCAATGCAAACATTGGCAAACATTACTTGGCAAGCAACTGACAGTGACAGCTGACATAGCATCGTGTCAACCAAGTGTCACTCAACAACTATGAAATAAAGAGTAGAAGATTTTAAGAAAAAATTAAGATTGATCAAAAAGGAAACGACACTAGTCTGTACAACTGAATTAAAATTTAATCTGTTATCTTACTGTTATCTGTTAAATCATATATTGTTGTGGTCTGATTCTGATTTTACGTATTTCATGAAATAAATAACTTTTACAATTTTATATTACTCATGTAAAAGGAAAAGTACATATTTTATGTAATTAATTATGGCACGGGATAGAAGCCCAGAGCGGAGGCGATCACGCTCTAGAGAAAGACGAGAAAGAGATCGACACGACGATCGTGAATTTTACCGGGACAAAATTAAACGACGAGAGAGATCAAGAAGTCCACGGAAGGAGCGAGATAGATCGCGTAGTCCTCAGAGAAAGGAAAGGGATCGTTCCAGAAGTCCTCGTAAAGATCGTGATCGTTCTAAAAGTCCATCTCGCAGAGAACGCGGGCGGTCTCGAAGTCCAAAGAAACGTGATGGCAAAGAAAAATATGAAAAGGAAAAGCGCTACGATGACAAAGCCAAGAATAAGAAAGATGACGATAAAGAACAAAGCGAAGATAAGCCTGAGGTAGTGGAAGAAGAAACAAAACCTGTAAAAAAGGAACCATTATCACTGGAAGAACTTCTTGCTAAAAAGAAAGCAGAGGAGGAGGCTAGAAGTAAACCTGTTTTTCTAACAAAGGAGCAGAGAGCTGCTTTAGCTCTGGAAAGGAGACGTGAACAAGTGGAAGCTATGAAAGCCAATGTTGAAAGACCTACCATAACAACAATCGATCTCACTGGACCCTCTGTGCCTTCTAAAAAAGAGGAGGATAGGAAGTATAGGGAGGAAAGAGAAAAAGAACGTGAGAGAGAAAGGGAACGTAAATATGAAGAGCGGAAAAATGCATCTGATAGAAGAGATGACAAAAAAGATAAAAATGATGATGTATCCAAAAATAAAGATAAGGAAAGAGAAGAAGAAGCCATCAAGGCACGATACTTAGGTATAGTAAAAAAGAAGCGCAGAGTTCGAAGGCTTAATGACAGAAAATTTGTTTTTGACTGGGATGCTTCAGAAGACACTTCCAATGATTACAATGTTTTGTATAAAGAAAGACATCAAGTACAATTTTTTGGGCGTGGACATATTGCAGGAATTGATATTAAAGCACAGAAAAAAGACCATAGCAAGTTCTACGGAAACCTGTTGGAGAAACGCAGAACTGAATTAGAGAAGGAACAAGAAAAGTTGAGATTAAAGAAGGTTAAAAAGAAGGAAGACAAACAGAAGTGGGATGACAGGCACTGGTCTGAAAAAGATCAAGATGAAATGACAGAAAGAGATTGGCGCATATTCAGAGAGGATTATAATATCACTATCAAAGGTGGGAAAATTCCTAATCCTATAAGATCTTGGAAGGAAGCAGGCTTCCATCAAGATATAATGGAAATTATTAATAAAGTTGGCTACAAAAGTCCTACACCTATTCAAAGACAAGCTATCCCTATTGGATTACAAAACCGTGATATCATTGGTGTTGCTGAAACAGGTTCTGGAAAAACGCTTGCATTCCTTATACCTCTTCTTACTTGGATACAGTCTTTACCAAAAAGTGAGCGAATGGAAGATGCTGATCAAGGACCTTATGCAATTATTTTAGCTCCGACTCGTGAGTTAGCCCAACAGATAGAAGAGGAAACAAATAAATTTGGCATCCCACTTGGTATTACATCTGTGGTGGTTGTGGGTGGTCTATCCCGAGAGGAACAAGGATTTAAACTAAGATTGGGTTGCGAAATTGTAATTGCCACGCCAGGTCGTTTAATTGATGTATTAGAGAATAGGTACTTAGTTCTAAACCGTTGCACTTATGTTGTTCTTGATGAAGCCGATCGTATGATTGACATGGGTTTTGAGCCAGATGTGCAAAAGATCCTAGAATATATGCCTGTATCTAACATCAAGCCCGATACAGATGCAGCTGAGGATGCCGCAGTCCTACTGGCAAATTATAATACGAAAAAGAAGTATAGACAAACTGTGATGTTCACAGCAACTATGCCTCCAGCTGTAGAACGTTTAGCAAGGAGTTATTTGAGGAGACCAGCAATTGTTTACATTGGATCAGTAGGCAAACCGGTTGACAGAACTGAACAGGTAGTGTTCATGATTGGAGAGAGTGAGAAGCGTAGGAAATTAACAGAGATACTACAGCGTGGCGTCGAACCGCCAATCATCATATTCGTAAACCAGAAAAAAGGAGCCGATGTGCTTGCAAAGGGCCTCGAAAAGCTGGGATTCAATGCCTGTACATTGCACGGTGGTAAAGGTCAAGAACAGCGTGATTTTGCATTGGCTAGTCTTAAAAATGGTTCTAAAGACATACTGGTGGCAACAGATGTTGCTGGTCGAGGTATTGATATTAAGGACGTCAGTATAGTAATAAACTATGATATGGCAAAAACTATCGAAGATTATACACATCGTATCGGTCGTACGGGTCGTGCTGGTAAAACTGGAAAAGCGATATCTTTTGTAACTAAGGAAGACTCTATGGTGTTCTATGATCTTAAGCAAGTGTTACTCTCCAGCTCGGTTTCCACTTGTCCTCCTGAATTAATGAACCATCCAGAGGCTCAACACAAACCCGGGACTGTTGTCACTAAAAAGCGCAGGGAGGAAATGATTTTCGCATAAGTTGTATTCATAATTTAATTAATGCTTTTGAAAACTGCATTATATAATTACAAATGGTTTTGAATAACTTTGTATATCATTTCATTACACAGAAATAAATAAGTAGTGTTGAGGACAGCAATATGTTTTAATTCTTCACAATTTCTGAAAAAAAAACATCTCAAATATTATCGTCATTTAAGAGAAAAAATAAATTTGCAATTTTTTTGTAAAAGTACTATTGTTCTACAACATATCTTGTATATATTTCGGATGAATATATTTTTGAAATATAATGAATAAACAGTGAATTTTTATCCTGCAAAATTCTCAGGATCACTATTAAAATTTTATAATAATCAAGTACTTGGTATATTTTGTCACAATTTTTTTTAATGTTAACAATGATATATACTCACTTTACATACTTCGATTTTCTACTTTATTTTCACGAAAATCTGAAAAAACAACTTATGATTTGTTATAAATTATTAAAAATAAAAACAGTATGTTGCTTAAAAGCATGAAATGATATAAAAAAAATATAAATTCAAAAATCCCAGAATAATAAAGATGATACAAGCAAAATAAAAAGAAAACACCATACTATATAAAGCATAAATAAGCAAAAGCATAAAAATAGAACATACAAAGCCTGAGGTGTTTATTTAAGGACTTGAGATTATTATGTATAAGAATTTTTTTTAAAACCATAGGCATTAAAAACAACAAGGATGTATATTATAAGCAACAGGAAAAAGGGAAATAAGCAGGAAGGTTAGAAATTGTGCATTCTCAGCTAACTGATCCATTTTATACCTATTCTTTACTTTCTGATGGCTTATCATCAGCTGTGTCCTTTGAAGGAGGTGGCATAATGGCCTGTTTGGCTGACACAGCTAATGAAACTGTCAAGTCAACAAATTCAGAGAAACTTTTGGGCAAAGACAAGTCGGGGAATTTTACTTCCAGTTGTGGGTCTCCTGGTTTCACTGGTGATTGAATTATACATTAAAATTGTAATATACAGTATTCATTTCTGTTTTTTGATTGATAATAAATAATACTAACCACCATAAAGGAAGTTGTAAGCAATATTGATATATTGTTTGGCTAAGGCCCCATTATTCTTAGCTAATTCCTTTGTCTCTTCAGGGAAGCAGATTGCTCCCATTGCTGTTGTACCAATACCCGCATAAAATACCCTCTGAAATAAGAAAGTTTATTTTATCTTAAAAAAATAATAATTAGAATGTTGACTGATTTAAAATATGTTATGCTATAAGTTCACATTATGTTACAATGTTTAACATCATAGATAGAATAAAGAAATTGCCATTACTTACTCTAATAAAACCTCCTCTAAGCCCAAATATAAATCCAGTTAAGCCACCCATTACAACAGCTCCATACCGTATATCCTTGTTATCTTCCTCTCTTAAATATTTTACAATCCCTGTAAATGAAGACTAATGATTAGTAATTATATGTAATGCAAGAACTCTACTAGAGATATTGTGTTTGTTTCGTTTTTAGTAAAATTGGTAAATGCTCAATCTAAAGAAAAAAAGTCTTACAATCAGATCGGTCTCTAAACTCATGGTAATTATCTTGTACTGTATGCAAGACAGATTCACTATGAGCTATGCCAATTTCTGCGGTCTCTCGCACAGCACGAACTGGTGGTTGTAGCACTGATCTTAAGTAGCTGCTCTTATTAGAGTCAGATAATGAATGAACATATCTGTAATAGAAACAAAACATTACTTGCTGTTTACAAAATTATTTATTAGGTTTTAATACTGAAAATACATACTCTCCATATTCGGCATGCGGCGCTTCATAAATTGGAAGATCAGAGGGTCTCATTGGTGGCGGTTTTAACGGTTCTCCTGGTTTTTCTTGCAAAGGAGTCGCGGCACTAACTGTCGGTATAAGAGCGATCACTCCAGTAGTCCCTATCGCCACTTTCCTCAGCATCTTTGAAAAAAGTGTGTGTTTTAAGCGTTTGAAACTAAAAAAATAAGCAATTTACAACAAACTTATTGGTATAAAACGACCGGTACCTTGAATGTAATTATTGTAAATTACATAAAAATGTAATAAAACAAGGACAGGTTCACTTAATCAGCTGGTTAGCTTGACATCTGTCAAATTTACATGCAGTTACATAACAAAAAACAATAGATGCAAAAACTACATCCACATCACTTAAGCACAACTCAAGTCTGAACTTAATAGATATAAAACACAATTTTAATTTATCTGAGGTTAAAAACACGGTAACAGTATAACAAAAACTTTACGAATTTTAATGAAATCTTTGACAAGCAAACTCCTTGTTTGGTAATGGTAACACATTCATCCATGTCACTTTTCCATTTCATTTCAAATTCTCTGTCTTTATCTTGTCTTGTCTAGATTTTAGATAGTTCCCTTCATCTGTCACTATTTTTCTTTAGATTTGGAGAATAATTATCTTTTCTTCTAAAAAAGTAGTTGTTTACGATCATTGTAATTCAAGTTAATTCTCTTATTAATAAATTCGGTGCAACAACGTTTCACATTGTAAATATTATACATCTATTTAAGTGAAATTACATCTAGTGAAACGGATGAAAATAACGTGATTGTGAGTACGATATTGAAAAATAAAACTGGTTATATTAATTAAAAACGGTAATTGGTGTTAAAGTTATTAATATTTCTGTTTTAATTGGCTTTGTAACTGAGTTATTTTAAAAATGTCTGGAGTGCGCGCTGGTCGCGTACCTAAGCGCCTGAGAGCTCATCGTATGAAGAGTCGGTCAGGTAAGCGAAGGCCCGCATGATGGTGCTTCGCCGCTATCGGCACAGAGCTCGGGAAACGAATTGCTTGAAGACCTACTTTTAGTTTAGATTGCTTCTGATCAAACTCATTATGATGGTTCCATTTCAATTTAATAGACATTCAGTAAAACTTGAAGTGAACAACATTCCCATCGATTTATTTTTATGATTTTACTAAAACTAACTTAAAAATAAATTAAAATATCATATCCAATAAAGCGTCAAAATCATTGTTACGAATCTACATTGTTAGTGGCTATTACAAGGAAACTTTCAGCACAACTATTGCTTAAATCCCCTTTTCATTGATGACATGGCAAATACCTTATCTTCTACCACACAAGTTTTACGCTTATATTGTTGTTTTCCAAACCAATTTTTCATTCACCATTTTAGCAGTCTTCCTTTTAGTTAACCCTTATGTACATTTTGTATATTATACCATACATACAACTTTATAAAAATATATCACTATAAAATAATTTTAAACTTTGTTTTTTGTTTTTCTTCAAAAAATAAATCTTGCCACAATAAAGGTTAGTGTCACCTTCACACAATCCATCTCATTGTTTATTATGTTTTGCCATATGTGCTATATTGTATGGAGCCTTCAAATGAGCACTTATTTCAGTTATAGTTGCGTTCTAACGAGAGTGTGTGATTTACTAACAAATAACTTGCATTGATCCAGGATGTAAGGTGCATGATGATTAGAGTGATGAACACTTAACTCCATCTTTACGGAGCCACATTACCACATGGCTGAGGAACTTTGGAATGAAATGGTACATAGACATTCTTTTATTCATTTATTTCTTTATTTGGTTCTATATTTGCACTATAGTGTTAACATACATGGGAAAAAATCATAAATCAATCATATATTCTATACTAAGCTATTAGTAACCAAATTATATCTACGCACTGCTTGAATATTATGTTTGAGTAGGTTTTTTTTAAATCTCTTACTCTACTAGCCCATCTATTCTTAAAGTTTCTTGTTTTTTACCTGCCAATCTTTTCTAGAAGATGCAATTTTAAAGCAATTTAATGTTTGCATTTGGCATCAATACCACTATCTTTATTTTATCACAAAATAGCATTTTCTATAAGTTATATCTCACTATGTGTACTTGATTTCCATTGGTGTATAATCATTTAACAGAAACTTTGAAAGTGGATATCATATCGGAAACTTATAATATGCATGTAATATTTAGTTTAATATCAGTGTATTTAATTTTGGTATTGCATATTCTAAACTGAACTTGGGAGTATTTGACACTTGGCTATTGGTTTGATAAAAAACTCAACTCAACATTGTTAAAGTTTAAATACCTACTATCACTATGTGGAACAATAGTATTTACTTTTTTGTTATATTGTATTTTTTGTTGCCATACTATTGTACCTTATTTGTCTTGTATTTGGCCTTCAATGTTATCTATTTCAATTTCAGTTCTTTTTTTTAGTATTAACTTTCACTCTGCAAAATACTAGCAAAAAATAGATTTAATTATTTCCATGCACATTTAGCACCTATTTACATAGTAGACTCCATTCGAACACAATGTGTGAGTATTTTCTTTTGCGTGGTTTGTAAATTTGCACTGAGAATAATTACCTAACATGTTATAATCTAGATACATTGATTGTGTGAACATAAGACGAACGTTTTGCGTCACTGCTTCATTGTGAGGCAATTATAATCAGATTTGAAAGGAAACGCTTTGATGTGAACATTAACATAACAATGATGGCAGACGGAGTGATTACGTCCTTTGCTAAATACTCATGGCAAAACGCCACACTTTGTATTATTTAATATACATTCAATGCATACACTTGCATTATCAGTAGGGATGCCAATCAAAACACTGGCGACGTTGTAGAAACGATACTGATGTGGCAACCCTAATCATCAGACAAAATATTCGAATCGTTGTTGCGCTATCGTACAGTGAACTTTTGTCATTCTGTACGAATATTCAGCATAAAGTATGAAACTCTGGGTCTTAGATAATAGTTTAGTTTTTTGCGTTAGGGAATGTAGATTTTTGTCCGTAAAACTTTAAAACAATACTTAAAATCATTGTTGATGGGATTGAAATTTGCAGGTATCTTCCCTGTGTACTATCAATATCTATGTAGTAATAAGAAACATTAAGAAAAAAAAACATCAGTTTTCTGTAATAAATTTTCTTAGACTATATATTAATATCTATTACCGCATTATTATGAATCCATTACAAAAATTATTAGAGAATTATTCTTGTAGAGATATTTTAATCTTATTAAAAGGTATATTGGTAGTCGGCTACTATCGTAATGAATGTCGTGCTACGTACGTACCGAACGTATTTTTACGGCTCCCCTGAGGATAAAACTATCTCGTTTATCATTGTTATTCTATGCATCGTTTAGTACTCCTTTCATTGATTACACAAGATAACATGCCTGTGTTACAAAGGTATCATAGAAATGACGACGTGTAATATTACTTAATTATTGATTGTATTGAAAATGAGCTAATCTTATTTGCTTTTTACATTTTAAGGTGCGTTTTTAAAAAATCTGGCAAATATCGTATCGTACTACCGATTTCCCAAAAGTTTAAGATTTCCGGAGTTTTCTATCTCTAATTTTATACAAATTCTTTCGAGCAGTTTCCTTTTAACCACTATTTTAATGACAATACGAATGTCCGTACAAACATATTTAATAGAATAATGTATAATCGTTGGCTGTGTCAAGGCAACGGTGACGTAAAGTGGACGTGACCCAGTAATTAAAGATAATGTAGGTATGGCTTGGTATATTGCGCGGTCTATCATCACCGAACCTAATGAGTTTCGTAAAAGTGGACATACGTATTATCATAATACTCTTTAGAAATAGAACGTACAATTTTTACAATTAGTAGAGGCGAAAGCTAACTCATGTTTGTGTGTTTTAGAGATAGTTATTAGTTCTGTTAGTACTTAGTTATTATTGCTATCAATTTTAGCAAATAGAAAATTATGGTGCAATCGAAATAATTCGAAACATTGTTATATAGGAGACATGAAAATGTTTTAAAGATAATGGACAAATTGCGTGATAATTACAGTGCAATGCGTTTGTTGACCTAAATACCCAATGAATGATTAATACTTATTATTTTAAACTTTAATTTAGTTATATTTTCGGTTAAAGAATATAAAATTGACTATTTTCGTTTCGACTGTACTTAAACAAAGCAATACTCTTGTATCTGTCAATATCATAATGGCGCTAAAAGTGGACGTAACCATAGATTAATAATTCAATATCATAGATACAACAGATAATTGTTTAACGACTGTATTGATCACGATAAGGCTGTCACCGTCAACTTTGTTTACTAATACGTTAATTTAGATTTTTATGACATTACAGTGCTGAGAATGATGGCAATAATGCAGGACAGGAACAGTGAGGAGGTGCCTCGCGAGTTCTTGGAGACGGGCCGGACGGGAAGGAGAAATGCCATGCCTGATATACTGCACCCCCAGGGCGCCGAGATGACGACGGCGGACCTGCCCTCTCGGTTGCAACAGCTGGCCACTACTGGTATTGCAAAAAAAAATCTTATTTTTAATAGAAATGTATTTCCTGTTTTCATTCCGCGGTTATTTTCAACAGTTAGTGAACTACGTCATCTTCTCTAGGTCATCCACTTATAAACCGAAAAAATGTCAACAACTTAAGCGATGAAACTTTTTAAACTCGTAAGCTCAAAATGTTTTGATTACGATTGCCACCACGTGCTGAAATACAGACTGAGATTGACTTTAACGACCATATATTGTTAGAATGGTTTATAGTTGAATCAAAACTGGATAAACTCACAGCCTTTATTAGTTTAGTATTAAGATATTGAAGCTCTTTATTGTGTTGGTCTGACTCATTTCGGTTAAACAATTAGGGTCGGGCGGAAATTAACAAAACCAACCTTTTCTCTATCGGGCCGTGACAAACGCGTGCTTGAATGCCGCGACAAATTGAGCTATAGCACGCTCCCTTACGTACTGTGTCACGTGGAAATTCTAGAATTAGACTAACCTCGTCGGAATTACTTATAGTTCTTTAGAGTATATTTTGTATAATTCGATATCTTACTTTAATCCCCCCAGGGAATCATTAAATGGATGCAATCTCCCTTTACATTATTTATTCAGTATATATACATCAAACTTACATAGTTGTGTTTGTACTGGGAACATATAATCACAGTAGATTGATTATAGCATCGTTGATTCTGTTATATGTTGACTCCAAAGCGGCGCGTTTGTATAAAATGAGCCCTTATTTACGCGGCTTAATCAGGTCAATAGTTCCCATGAGATATATAACGGGTCCAATCAAATCGACCGTGTGTCTCGCTACACAATGTTTACATAAATAGGTTGATAGTTTTTTTCTATAAATTTATAGCATAGTATTTATATTTTTACTAGCTGTTCAACAAACATAATTAGTAGCCTATGTGTTCTTCCAGATAATGTTCTATATGCATGTCAATTTTCATGGAAATCCGTTCAGCCGTTCTGGAGATACCTTCAAACATCCATCCATACATTCATCTAAATATTCACATTTATAATAATAGTAAAATTTAAGCAAGATTATTTTTGATTTTTTGACGAATGGAATTTCTTTGTTGTTTAAATTGTGAATTATCGTAACCATGAATTTATATTTAAATAGCGAGAGTTAATATTATTACAATTGATTTCCACAGTCAACTAATGAGACTTTGATTTACGGTTTTTTTCTATTGGTCGGTCAATCAATAAGAGCACTGCATACAATCCTTGCAAATAATTTTAATTAAATGTCTTATCTAATCTATGTATTATGATTATTTTATATTAATACTGGCATTTATGGCCTTTACTTTTTAATGTAGTGTGCTTAAATGTGTTTACGATATTTCTAAGTTGCTACATTTTGTATGCAAGACCTTTTAAATTAACGTTTAAATCAAAGAAATTAAAGTAATTGTAGGATTTAAAAGAATCGATTTTTGTCTGTCATCTTAGTTACGGTATATTATTTAAGGAATATACAAAATGTTAAAGATATCGATGTATGGACGCGTATATGTGCGTAAATAGCCGATACTGAAATAACATTTAGCGACGTAAACCGAACGTAATCATCTCTGTCTTGCGTCACCGCACTAATCTGTAGCTTATCGGTCAACGCTGAGACAAACAACTTGTCCACATGGCCTAATGTTGACGAATATGTATTGACTTGATTATTCTAAAGTCAATGATCAAGTAACCTTGACTTTTGATGTTGAACTGGCTGTCACCTGCGACACCTTCCGTGCGGAATTAAAAAAAAACTTCATTAGGGCCTGTGTTCTTTCATACTATGTTCTATATGTATGCGAAATTTCATAGAGATTCGTTCAGCCGTTCTGCAGATACCTTCAAACAAACATCCATCCAAACATTCACATTTATAATATTAGTAAGATTAGTAAGATAAAGGAGATTGTAAATCATATCCAATTACATTCCTTCTCCTATTAAGTCCGTTTTTCAAAAAGAATGAATGATGGATTATAATACAATTTTGCGCAGGTGTTTCAGTAGTAAAAACTAGTTACGTATACAAAGAGAATAACGATAGTCGCCCACGTGATATGATTGACGTAGACTATATTATTTTATTGCAAATTTTATTATTTCCAGATCCAGAGCACCCACAGCCGAGCACGTCAAAGAATGATCTCGAAACGTCCAAAGACGATCAAGCAAGTAAAAGTAATTGCAGTTGAGCTGCCTCGCATAAGGTCGCAGACCACTGGACATGCCCAAAGTAAAAGTAATCTCAAAAAGGTAAATAGAAACCCTAAGCACTGAACTTAGTGTAGGCCCACCTTTTTGTAGGAAGGTATAGTGTACAAATGTAGCTCTAATTATGATAGTTTTTAAAGGCTATGTGTAATTTTATTTGTACTAAATAATGACGTACAGAAGTTCTTAAAAAAGTTTTTGAATAAAAAATATGACGTTTTATAAATAAGGAATTTTTGTCTATGATATTTTTTTTAAACTACTTTTTAATTACTTTTGAAAACATTTATAAATTCTGCTGGCAATGACACAAAGTAAAGCATTAAAAGTACGACATTTTCACATTTAATTTAGCTATACCTTTAAAGATGCTATTTAGTGTTAAAGAAATTAAGTGTTCTAAATGATATATCAATTAATTTAATTTGCTTCAATGTGAACTGCGATGTTTGTTAGAGCGTCAAGATTTTTTTTTCATAAATGACGAGGCTATTAACTTAGGAAATGGTGATATGCGAAGCATCGAAGCAATTGTTTTACCTTGGTTGTGAATGTGTACGAAAAGTTTGTGTTCTATTTTATGTTTTGTATAACTCAACAAGACTCCTTGGCGAAAAACATCGAATCTTTGTTATGTTAAGTCGTTGTTTAATTATATTTTCCTGTAATTTTTAGGCTATGCTAAATAGCTGTAGAAACAGACAATTGTCTTAAGTATTTCATGTAATTTTTTATTTGCTGTCATCTGTCAGTTATTATGCATCATCCGAGCGATTTAAAAAAAGAACTGTATCCTTTTTTCATTTGAGTAAAATTTGACAGAAGTCGTTGCTAAGACTACAGTCGACAGAGTACTTTGTATGTAAAATAATAAAAGGTAGTAAGTTTAACCTTCATCATTTTTTTTAAGTTTTATCCCCACAGCCTTGGTATTATATTTTTAGAAGTTTACAAAGCTACAAATGCTTATTTAAATGTTGGATGATTGCGAAAGCTATATGGTCAAATTGACCATAAGGGAATCAAATGTAATCGAACAATTTTACATACAACAATGATGCATTGTGAATCGTGCATAATATTTATACCAATAACCAGTGATTGATTAATAAATTTTATACTATTAAGTGCTTAGTCGCTTATGTATAAATTAAGACATTATAAAACATGTCAATTATTAATTAAAGCAAGTAAACATTCATAATCTACCTTAAATTCAGTGCTAAGAAGAAAATAATTTTAAAAATAAATAGCTGCTAATATATTCTTACCATAGACTTGGGAGTTCAAAACATCTTTGTAAGCCTTAAATATAAAAAGAATCGACTACAATCATACATTCATATATACTTGGTGTAGATGAGAGGGAAACCGTTAATTTGCTTTTTGAAGAGTCGGCTATAGTCTGCGAATATCTTTAATGACTCAAAAAGATTTACGTGAATTATCATTAATTTTGGAAATCCAATGTTGTATTTAAAAAAAAGTCTAAAATATATTTTATAAGATAATTCTTTCTTATCTTTGTAATTTCGACCATAGACAAATCCATATTTAGTGGTGTTCCCACTATATTCCGTTTTATTAGATTTTTTTCAAGGAGATTCTTTCTTCTTTCTATTAAATTATTTCAAATTAGCTGACTTTTTGCGCCATTGTATAATTGTATTTAGATATAAAGCTATGTAGGAATTTTTGGAATTAGATATGTGTCCATTTAGAGAAATTAGAACAAGGATAGGTACAGGTTTAAAATAATTGCGTGAATTAAGTTTTGTACCTTTATATGATGGTTTAGGAGAAAAATAAGCTTTTAATCGAATAAATTGTACATATCTGTAATAATGAGATATGGCAAAGTAGTTATGTCATTGTAAAGCACTGAATGTCTTAACTTAGAACTACGATTTATTTGTTGATTTAAAGTTTAATTTTTTTAAACAACTTTATTTTCCGACTGTCCGATATAATATGTAAACTATTTTGATTTTCAATTAAACTTTTTACATTGAATAACCGATGTGATAAGATGGTTAGTACCTGTTAGTTTCCATTGTCGAAAATTTTTGTAAAATAAAACATAATATAATAATTTATTTTACTGCAAGTAACACGGCAATAGAACTTATCAAGATGAGTTCGCGCCGGCGAAACGTACACATCAATAAGTTATCTCTTTTGAAACCAGAGAGCCTACCACGAATATTTGAGACACACGCCATCGTAATGTCATCGACAAAATGTCGAAAGTATGACATTTGCTAATGTATCTTTCGCGCGGTAGGGGTGCTGCACAATTTTTTTATACATATTTTAAGTTAAGAAAACGTTCTCGTACTTGGCCCTCTGAGAACTCATCCACCAGTTGCTTTGAATTTAGCTGCGTTCGTAAACCGTATTATGTAATATTTTGTTAGATCTCATGATGTTTAATAAATATGAGTTTTGTTGTTATTTCAATAGGATAAATAGTTTTTTTTGTCTATGTATGTTTTGAAAATGTATATGAGAAATTGTTTATATTTTTTTTGTAATTTATAGTTACAGTGAATTATGATAATTGCTTAAAGTAAATGTATTAAAATTTTCAAGTAAATTACAACCTCTTTTAACTTACGATTTCTTAATATTTTATTGACTGTAAGTTTATTTGCCTTGTTTAAAATTGAACACTAGTACCTAAATGCTTAACTTCAATACTCAAAAAGTTTTTGTTTAATTAACAAAGGATCCTTAAATTCTAAACAAAAATAATCGGAAGCGGTTATTTTAGCAGGCATTTTCTTTTGTGTAAAAATATTAAATTTTGTATTTCAACATGATTCTACACTTTCACGATTAAATAATTTGAAATCGCAAACGTGTTTGAAAGGTTTTTGTATTTGATTTGTTACAAATATATGAATATCACAAAACATATACTTTCGTTTTATTTATATTATTTTACCTTTTTATTTAATATTGGAATGATTTATGGTGAGCATGCATATGCTCGAAGAATTGATGCAATGAGAGGTGTGCAGCGACCGCGCCAAATGGAAATGCGTAATCCCCTCAGAATTATGGACGTGAAATTGCGTCTCAGTACACAGTTATTAATATTTGTTGTTATGTGATAAAAACATCTCAGAAAAAACATTGTCGACCAGTGTTAATAACTACCGTGCAATTCTGCTGCCAAAATTTTCTATTGAATCATTGCCTTTGTTGACTTAAAGCAAAAGAGAATGAAAGAAATGTCAAGGTAAAGTGCTCATTGCCGAAATGATTTGAAACAAAAAAAAATCATAGGCGTAAATTATTGTTGTTTAGATTTTACCATTCATATTTTAATTATTTCAAAAAGTAGGGAAATCTAAGAATTTTTTTAATTCCTACCGTAAAACGAAACGCACGAGAAAGGTATTTGACAACCAGTCATCAAGGAATTTCGCGTGTGGCAACTTGTGGCAACTGGCAACATTAGTCTGATGATTGATGTTTCACGTACGGATGTAGAGAAAGTAATTTGTGATTTTTCCAAGTTTATCTCGTTTAAACGTGAAATGATCATTTCCGTGTCGTGAGAAATGCTCTTTTTGCTGTTTAGAGTCAATCGCGAACGTAAAATAAAAAGTGTTTTAAAGTCAAAATGTTGGGAGACCGCTATGACTGATCGTTTTTATCGTGGCTGTTTATAGTGTTTTTATGAGTGCATTTAAAAGTCAATGGGAAGGATGCCGAGGGGAGAACACAGGCCTAGCACCCTGTTGTCGCGGGACGAGAACGAGCAGGTGTTCAGCCTCATCGGTCCTAAGTGCCAGGTAGGTCAATATGTACCGCGTCCTTCCTCGTGATTCAGTCAATAGATTAACCATTATCTCTACCAGTATCGAAGAATTTCGATGATACGGACACGATAAGCGTTTACGTTTTAGATAAAACTTGATTTATTTGTTTGAAAAAGTTTCTAAATCACTGAACATTTTAAAATACTTGATTTTATGAAATGAAACCGAATAATACTTAAAAGAAAACAAAATTCTTTAACAGAATAAGCAAATGTACTTGAATAAATTATTTCTTACAATTGGTGCACAGTTAAAAATGTACTTTAATTGGTGCAATTATAACTAACAAAAGTCAAGAAAACACTGAAGGCCACATATTTCACATTCTATTGTACTATCTATAATATTTTCTCAAACAATTTTAATTTAATTAAACTATCATTTCACTCGACACTTTAACAGATAATTTAAGTTCAAAATGGAACTAATATAGTATGTGTAACTTAAAAATAATTAATTTAACATTTGAATTTTAAGGTGTTAACTGACTGATGTAAGATAAATGAAAGGGCAACCAATTAAATTAATGATATAAAAATTTGCCTTATTGTAAATTTCTGTATATGGATTAATAAAATCCACCTTTTATTAGTTACTGTTTATTTAGCAAACAAGTCTGAGTACCTATACAACATCTTAAATTAACTTTCTTACAAAATCTAGGAATTAAACCCAAAGATTTATAAAATTTTCTATCCCACATACTTTCTAGTTTTCGCAACTGTAGCATTTTCTGAATGTAACCCCTGTAAATAGTTATTATTGATTGGAGACATTGGTTATGTTATTGTTATGTGTATTTGTTTGTGGTTTTAGACTTATTGTCAATGGGCAAATTTTTGTAAAGAAAACGCATCAGTGGATTTTTCATTCAGTCGTCAAATATTATTATTATATTATTATTATATGTAGTTGCACACTGGCAGCTGGTCAGCTGATATGTGTGCTAAATAATTTGGAGATATTCAGCTTGTCGATGTTGTTTTTTTATCTCCAAACACTGTGCAGCATATAATTTTACTTATATATATATTATTTTAAAATAGCCCTTTTTAGATATACATAAGAAGGGTCTATGAGCTAAAGAAAACTATGAGTTCATTATCAATAGTCTGTCCAAAAAGGTTATCAACTAAAACAATTTTCTAAAGTAGTATCTGAAAGTAAACTGGGCTTTGACCTTTATTTAATGTTTCCAACCTTGGGACATATTGGACCTATTGGCTGACTTATTTGTTCTGAATAGAATGAAAAGTGTTACTAATATGATGGGCTGTTTCATTAAAATATTTTTTTTATTTAAAATATATGACTACATGTCACCAGAGATTGCCCATGAGGTATTAAAAAAAACTTAGAAAGTAACCTATGTGTTCTTCCAGTGTATGTTCAATATCTGTACTAATCTTTATTTAGATCTGTCGAACCACTCTGGAGATACCTGCCAACAAACATCATTCCATACATCCAAACATATATATTATTAGTAATATAAGCACTTTTTGGAGTTCCAATATCACTCCCTGATTGTATTTTGATAACATCTGTTCTCAAACATTAGATCTAGTCTATTCACTTTATAAATCAAAAGTGATAATCACATCAATAGATTCATTCAATTTCAATAAGACTTACTCAGAAATGTATAATAAATGGTTATTAAATCTCTAAAAACAATAAAATTATATAAAAACAAGTTTTATGATGTGTTATGTAAATATATCCAGAGATGGTATCAAAGCAATTTCTCTCTATATATGCATGCAAATGCATAGCTATGTGCAGTGAAAGTGTCAATGAATTTAAATCCTGCTTTAAAACTTCTCCATCTTGTATAACAACATTCAGTTTACAGCCTTACAAAGATTAACACACTCACTGCTACAGTCTCATCTAGCAACTTCTCTTTCATACATAGAAATTACATAAAAAATGTAGCTGCTCTGAAAGTGTTAAAGTTCATGATTACATTATTTTATTAATAAAACTAGCTGTCGCCCGCAACTCCGTCCGCGCTGCATTAAAATAAAAACTTAATTAGTAGCATATAATCTACATCTAGTCCAAATTTCATCAAGATCTGTTTAGTCATTCTGGAGTTAACTTCAAACAAACATCCATCCATACATCCAGACATTAACAATTATAATATTAGTAAGATTGAATAATACCACGGTGCCTACAAATTCCATTTATGACTCACAGGCTTTAAAATCACCTTCAAAATTCAAATTATCCTTTTAATATTACTTATATTTTTTAAATAAACATAATAAATAAGGGTCCGATTAACATGAAATAACTGTATTCAAGATATTTTTATCAATTTTATTCAAAAGGGTTTAAGTACAACTTTCAGACTATTCCAAGTGATTGTGTTACCACAACATGTGTATGAACATTATTGAACACTATAATTACCCCTATTTATTTCTGTTAATAATATTACAGTAAGCACAATGAACTCCAATAGTTACATAATATGTGACTCTGCATATTGTATTATATCAAAGTAATTGTTTATGTTCATTGTTGTTTACAAAAAATATTAAAGATTGTCTTTTTTTATGTTTATTTCTATCAATCTAATTCTTTATCAATTTCAAGCTGTCGCTCGTGATTCCATCAGTGCGGGATTAATAAAAAAATTAATTAGTAGCCTCTGAGTTCTTTCACACTTTGTATTTTTATGTCAATATCCAAAAATTCTCGCATTTATAATATTAGTAAGATATTGCGTATCTATTCAAATGCCCTAATACGATGAAACAGGACGCTAACTCGCTTCGTTTTCGAATTTCCTTTTCAATCATTCATTTCCTGCGGCCGTCCGGAACTACTTACGATATGAGCCGGACATAATAAGTACGCCGTTACGCTAATTCTTTTAAAGATATGTTTTATCTAATTCGATATATCCAGTTATTAAACATTTATGGCATTGAAGCTTTAATCATGTGTATATAAAAACTGACAAATGATTTTAATCGTGGGTGATTTAATTGGCGAAACATTTTAAAATAGTTGTTACATATAATATCTTTTTTTCACATTTAATTCAGATCCTTGCAGATATTTCTTCGTTAAATATCAAACAGTAATAAAAAGTTCCGTATTCGTAGATAAGGTAACTAATTTTAAGGGAATAAAAGATTTGTTTTATCCGCAGAGCTTAGCGACTGCCGTCGTCCAACTGTTCACGACAGAAGGTCCCGCGCATTCAGAATGGAAGAAAAAGGACACCGGTGTACTGTGCCTTATCAAGGACAACGGCAGGCGGTCCTACTTCTTCCGTATCTATTGCCTGTACCGCAAGGCTATGATATGGGAACACGAAGTCTACCTCCAGATAGAATACAAAAGCCCCAGACCTTATTTACACACGTTTGAAGCAGAGGTAAGTAACTTTTATATTGACCTAAAGAGATTCAAATAATTATAAATCGGACTCTCGAATCATTGTCCTAGAACTTTTGTCGTAATTATCTGTAGCAAGTATATAGACATATATAGATAGGAAAATTGTTAATATTAAAACAATAAAAAGACCGTCATAAATATCCATTGGTAAATTAATTACCATATTTATTTAAATAACTATATTTCCAATATTATACAAGACTTTCTCCAGTTAAATTATGCTAATGACATATTAATGGTGACAATATTCACTGAATATATAAAAATCAGTTTCTGATATAACGGAATTTGCCGTACCAGCTGTTGATTTGAATAAACGTTGACAAAAGATTACAAGTAATTAGCTGCCGCCTGCGACTCCGTCCGCGCAGAATTAAAAAAAAATAGTAGCTTATGGATTCTTCCAGACTATGTTCTATATGTATGCCAGATTTCATTGAGATGCGAGATAGTAAGATATAAGATTACAGTCAAGATTATACAAACCTTGTGTGCAACCCACTCCGGTTTCTCGTTTTTTCAAAAGTCTTTCTTGACGTTAGTCTTGTCATATCTTATCGTTCAATTATTATAGGCCTATCTTTGTATTTTATTCGTAAATTGTTTTTCAACGTATTTATAAGAATGTACACAACAGTCTTTTGATACTGGTCAAGGCTTGACAGTTAAACACCCTGTGTAAACATTCCGACTGTAGGCTTCTAAATGAGAAATAGTGTGTTTTGTTTATCTAAGCCTTTCCCCATGCTTGAGATAGTTATGTTTAAATTATATATTAGCTGTCGAGCCGGATTCCGTTTGCGTGGATTTAAAAAAATAACTTAATTAGTAGCCTAAACCGAACTATGTTCTACATCTATGCGAAATGTCGTAAGATACGTTGAGCCGTTTTGGACATACCTTCTTACAAACATCCATCCAAACATTCGCATTTATAATATTAGCACGATAGGTAAGGTTGTGGTTGCATATAGATCTATTTATATCTATATTTTATTTTTGAAGTATACTATTATTTCTAAAATAGAATGTAAATCTAATAAACAGCATAAGCTTTAATATAATATGTTATAGACGTATGTGTAGCACGCCATGCCTTCTTTATGTAGAAAGCAATTGAATTACATCACCTTTTAATACGTGATACGATTGCCATGGATATGTAATACAACTTCCAGTGAGAAAGCGGAACATACAGATAAAGAAGGAAGTTAAATAAAAAGCCTGCTAGTTTTCCAAGATACACGTTGTGGTTGAAAGGTCAATGTTGTTAAGAACATTTTTAAATCCAAATATAATTACAATGTTGTCACTTCGCTGTTTGCCGAAGGAATTTAAAAATGTTTCTTTTACTATAAAGCCCACTACACCTTATATATTAAATGCACAGTTTTAACTGAAAGAGTGTAAGCAAAACTAACAATTGTACAGTTTAACTGTACAGTAAAAACTGAATGTATAGTGGGCTTAATACTTTGTTTCAACTGTACCCTAAAAACGATCACTTTTAAAAATGCCGTACCGAACTCGTTCAATTAATCTATCATTACTTAAATGCTCTAGTTACACACATTTCTTTATAATTATACAACGTTCGTGCAAAATTTTAATAGCACAAAGTAATTGCTTAATCTGTCTGCGACGTGTTAATGCCCCTTTCACATGAAATCGAACAAGGTCAGTTCCTTCCGGCGGGGTGACATCCATCCATCAATTGAGTTCACATCCGCCACTTTTCGATGGGACATTACATTTTGAAGTATTATCAAAATATGGTTGTCTCTTTCTACCGTGACTTACATACAGACCTTTTTAATTGACGACAAATTATTGGCTTCTATCGTATTAAAACTACGTTTTCTTATTACTTTCCTTTAATAAATATCACAACATATAAACATGTGAGCATGCTGTGTGCCCTACTAACGCCACCATTCATCGTCGTAACCTTATTCTTATATTATCAATCAACTATTATCCAATGATTCATCTATAAACTATGGGCGTGTGATCAGCATCGAGACGTCGAGAGTCGATTTAAAAACAAAAAAAGCCACCGACGTTCCTCGTTACGCAATCTATCGCAAGAATGAGCAGTGCTCGGGTCGGATCGGCTGTTCATTGTTTTCATCAGTCTGACTGAACGTAACAGCTCATTTGAGTCGAGCTTTCTAATTCTTCGCCTGCGCCGCCTGCGATGGACAGGCGACGCTTACGTCACACCAGAGCTGTTATGTAAATCAGTTTTGGTGTGCTGACAGTACAATGCAAAAATATGCTCGTCTCGTACACATTACTTTGTCTACAGTTCATTATGATATTAGATGACTCTTTGATCCTATGAGCAATGCACATACAACTAATACGTCATTATATATCTCTTATATTATAACATACCATTAAGGATATTGCTTAATCTCACTTTTTATTAATATTATAAATGCTAAAGCTTAGATGGATGGATGTATGTTTGAAGGTATCTCCAAAATAGATCAGCGGATTTTGATGAAATTTGGCACAAATATAGAACATAGTCTAAAAGAACACTTAGGAGTCGCGGGCGACAACCAGTAATAGATTCTCGACGACCTCAAACCTCAAATGCTGTGGTACTACTACTGCCACCAAATCTTAATAAATTCAATTGTGCTTTATGGTACAACTGCATATCCTAATATCACAATTTAAGGAAAGAGAGACGAGGAAAATTTGATGTCATATATATTTACGACATATACACTTCTGTTATAATTTATAGATGCAACGAGATATGCGCTCAACGCAAAAATCTTACTAGAATCATTGAATTATATTTATATGTTTTTGAACTGTAAAGCGATTTAAATAGGAAAGTTTTATTTGCCATTTATGCTCATAACAACATCCAATAATATAAAACCGGTGATCCGGAGTTAAATTTATAGATCAACATACTGATTAAGAAAGTATTGAAAGTTGTTCTGCACAATTCTATTGACAACTTTTATAGACAAAAAATTATAATCAAAGCTCTTGATACATATTGTTTTCTCTATTTTTAAGAAAGTATCAGACGGATGTCAATATATTTGAGATCTCTAAACATCAATATTTAAAAAAAAAATTACACGTACACTACTTTTCATATGTCAGCAATAAGATTGTTGAAATTTTGTCATGTAACATATGAAATTATAAATTTCAGGACTATATGACCGCGTTCAATTTCGCCAACGAAGATGAAGCGAAAATACTTAAAGACACGCTTATCGAGAAGATCGAATTACGGAAACAGAGACGACAAGGTAAGTGTCTATATTGATGAACTAAAAGTATAAAAGAAGCAAAAAATAAATTTAGATATATGAGGAACCTCATGAGACTTTTCGTGCACAGACACGCGGTCTCAGCTAAATCCGAGCCACCATAAAGTTAGTATACTATTATACTTTTTGTAGTCGATAAAGAAACAACGATTAAAATGAAGTAATTGTACTTCGTAATCGTAATTTTTTTGGGTTTTCTTAAAAACAAGCAATAGTATTGTTCATTCATTGTTAATTTGAATTTTATAATACTGTGATTTCATCGATCGTTGTTTTCGATAGCTCGCATAATAATACACAACTGTTTACTAACAAATATCTCATACATAAACACGCGCACGCTGTTGTGCTACTGCCGAGCTCCTGATATATACATCATCGTACGATTATAAAATGCCTACGTAAAAACAAATGTCAATATAGGTTTCCAAACATATCATCATCATAATATCAATATTAAAACCGCCGAAATACATTTAAAAATCAATCAAAATATACATACAAACATCAATAATGACATTAATATTTCTACAAGGTATATATTTTGAATTAAAGATCAGCAGTAGCGATGGGTAGGACTAGGTAGGGCTACCGCCCAGGGCGCCACGCACAAGGGGTCACCGCAGGCGCCAGAGTCGGATATAAAAGGGTGCCTGCGGTACTCTATCTTTGGGAGGTTTCACCCGAAGCAAAAAAAAGACAGGCGCCGTAAAAATTTCGCCCATAGTGCAGAAAATGCTAAAACTGAGTATCAGCTGATAAACGTTTCACAACAAGAAATATCTTGTCTTAAGGTTCTACTATTTTCTTTTTTAATTACCGTGTATACGTTACAGAACGACGGCAAAAATCAATGATGGCGGCCCGCATGAACAGCACGACGTCACAGCGATCAGTTCGACACAACGGCGTCGCTCCGCCAATGCCAGTCCCTCTGCAGCCTCCCCTGCAAGCTCCCCTGCCCACACCACAGCCTGTTAAAGCACCTTCCTTCTCAGGCAAGTTGACCTCACTAATGCATAGGTTTACAAATCTAATCCGGGTCTAGTATAACTTTGTATAGTAAAATGTTAAGTACATTTATTTGTTTTAGTAACACAAAAAATCCTTTATAAAGGAAGATGACACTGCAATGCTTTCTTTTGTTTTTTTTTTTCGTAAGATAACTACATTTAAGCGTCTTGGTGATTAAAATTGCGTTATAAATCAATCCATTAAAATGATGTTATAATATGTTAATGTTGTACTTTATTACAGGTGGAAATTATACTTTGAAAAGCAAAAAGCCTAAAGGTAGGAAACTAACAAAAGCTGACATCGGCTCCCCGAAAGACTTCCAGCACATATCCCACGTCGGCTGGGATGCTAACAAAGGTGAGATTTGCTTTAAGATACCACGAAATTCAACAAATTAACTAAATAATTAATATTGTTGTATTTTATGGGACAGGCTTCGATGTGGACTTACCTGAAGAAGAGATGCGATCATTCTTCTCAAAGGCGGGCATATCGGAGACTCAGCTGCAGGATCACGACACTATGGAGTTTGTATATGACTTTATCAACTCGCACGGCGGCATCAACGCCGTCAAAGACGACCTGCACGACGCACCTCGACACAACAAAAGTAAATCCATGTCTTTTTATACAGCTGTAGTCGCATTGGTATTGATAAAAACTGTTGCATGAATGAGACTATAACCTTTATCGTTAAATTGAGATTTATTAATATATTTGTTTATATTTTCAGATTCGATTCGTTCCCCTGCGCCGCAGTCAGCGCCCCCCGCGCCGCCCGCTCCCCCC